TCCTGGACCACCTACAAGTACGGCTTTGGGAATGTTCAGGGTGATCACTGGCTGGGCACCGAGTACCTGCACCTGCTGACGCAGCAGGGCACCTACAAGGTCCGCTTCATCGTGCGGAATAAAGCCAACATCACCCATTATGCTGAGTACGACATCTTCAGGGTGGAGAGCGAGGCTCGCGGGTACCCGCTGAGGCTTGGCCGGTTTTCTGGTGATGGGGATGACTATCTGACCAGCTATTACCCCAAGAAGGGGGGCATACACGACAACATGAAGTTCAGCACGACTGACAGGGACCAGGACCAGTACAGTGGGAACTGCGCCAACAGCTACGGGGGCTGGTGGTATGACAGGTGCCAGAACGTCCTGCTCAATGCTAAAAAACGTATCCTCTGGCCAGGATTCTGCGATAATGGCGACTGCGCATCCTCCCTCATCCTGGTCAAACCCACAGATGTGTGCTGACCGTGCCTCAGCGCCCAGCCACCTGGGAGTTTGCGGGGGTGTCCCCATCCCCAGCTCAGTGCCCTGTTCCCGTGCCTGCCAACAGCCCTGTGCCAGCCCCGGTACGTGTCCTGTGCTGCCTGCAGCTCCCGCACTGTCACCAGCTGAAACAGCAGCTCTGGGGCTCAGGAGCAATTGCCCGCAGCCCCAGGCACACGGGCAGCTTTGCCCAGTGCTGCGGTGCTGGCCGGCACTGGGACACAGGCACTGGTTTGGGGTGGGTGCGCCCACTCCTGTTCTGGGGAGGGGGCGACAGTGCAAGTTCCCTTCCCTGTGCAATCGGTGTATCCCTGCTTTGCTCAGGCCCTGCTCCCTCCATGGGCCCCATACACCCCACAGCTCCGCTACCCGTGCTGGGAGAAATCAGCTGCAATAAACCCTGGAGCCAGACTTTGCTGCCTTGTGTCTACCTGCTGCCGCGACACTGCATAGAAGCGTGGGGCGATCATTCTGTCCAGTCCGAGGGTGGTGGACCCTTTGGGGGAAAGTAGGTGTATTGTGCAGGTCCTCCCCTGAGCAAGGAGACACACCAGCCCAAGGGATGCCAGATCTCACCTCGCCCAGGGCTGACGTGGTGGCTGCTGGTTTCAAGATGCTGACTTGCTCAGGCAGCCCTGTGGAGCTGATTCTGGTCCCAGGCTGAGCTGGTGCAGAGCTGGTGTGGCATGCAGGGCTTTTTGTGCTGATTTTTTTTTCTCTGAAATATTTCAGTGTTCCACAGTGAAAGGCCTGACTCTTGGGCAAATTGCTGTTTACCAGGAACCCCAGTCTCCCTGCTGCTGACTGTCCCCAGCACCAACCTGTAAGATAAGCTTGTCTCCCTTTGGTATGGTTGTTGTACACAGCTGAGTACAGCTGTTGTACCCAATTCTGTCTGTGGTTTGGTTCTCAGATCTCTGCACACAATATGGCTTGTTCCATCCACTGTGCACGGAACTGTAGCTGAAAGGCAACAATCAGCTAACAGGGCCAGCAAAGCCCAGTATCTTGCAAAACGCTTGCCGATAGTTTGCCCCTGTCCGTGGCTGGGTGGTTGCTCTGTGTGGGGACAGGGAAGAAAGCACCACAGACTGGAGTGTGGCGAGGGTGGTGGGCTCCTGAGGGCATGAGAGATGCAGGTAAGTCAGTCCCATCACAGCCCGCTGCAGAGGGGGAATGTGCCTCTGTGTGGCTTCCCAGGGATGGAGGGAAGTTTGAACTTAGGGCTTGAAAGAAGCCACTGTTCTTCTCTGTCTTTGGAAGAAAAGCTGAGCTTGAGGAAGGCTTGTGGCTGTGAATCCTGAACAACTTGGGACTCTCAGGCCAAGATCAGTGACGCAGGACCCAGGGCACGGTGCAGAGCTGTAGCAGTGCCGTGTTTCTGAAGAGGCTGCCCTGGGGACATCTGTGGGCCTGCAGCTCCAGTGCATGGGGAGATGACTGCGTGAGGGTGCTGCTGGTTGAGAAGGGCTTCCCAGTTTGAGCTTACTTGACAGCAGCATTTCTGGACTGAGAGATTTCTCTGCCGGTTTAAAAGGTTATTTGCACTCCAGCCTGGATGTGCAATGTAACTTGAGGGGAGAGGCTTGACGGAAAAGGGCCTGGGGTTCCTGGTGAACAGCAATTTGCCCAAGAGTCAGCAATGCACCCTTGCAGGGTTGAAGGTGAACGGCATCCTGGGCTGTATTAGCAAGAGTGCAGCCAGCAAGACATCACTCCCCTCTGCTCGCCACTGGGAGACCACATCACAGGTACCGTGTCCACTGTTGAGCCGTCCAGTGCACAGAGGCAGCACCACACTGGAGCTATGATCCCCAGCGGATTCAGGTCTCCTCAAGTTCTGAGATCTCTGCTGTGTCAGGCTGCCTCAGCTCTTAAAGCTGCCCCAGATATTCCAGCCATGCGGTGGTGTGTGGCCTTGCAGTGCTGTTGTCCCTGTCTTCCCTGTCCACTCTTCCAGCTGCCTCCCAAGGCCTGGGACAGCATTCACAAGGTTACCAAGGCAGGATGATGCTGGCCTGGCCTGTTGTCTCTGGCTAGCTCCAGGTCATGGCTGGTAGGGCTGAAGTGAGCTGACGCTTCCCTCCTGCCCTCAGTGCTTGCTCTTGACCATGTGGTGCTGCATTCCCTTTTCGAAAGATCCGCACCTTGGAACCCAACTCTCTTCTTCAAGTGAAAGATTTGGTTTTAATTCCTTGTTTGAGTCTTATGAAAAGAATTCCCTTTGAAAGTCTTTTCTTACTGCACCAGGAGCCTCAGGTCTGCTCCTTGCAAGAAACTGGCAGCAGTTACGAGAAGTTCCCAAACAAATGAAGGACATCTGCGCATATCCGTGCAGGTTCTGAAAGCAATTTTATTTGGCAGTATGAACACAGACT